CCCTCGACCATGTTCATGGTCGGCGAGCATCCTAAACGCTGTGTCGCTGACGCATTTTTAATGAACTGTGGTAATTCCATTGTGATCTTACTTTACAAATCGATATTATTTAAAAGAACACTAATATTGTTATTTTCTATAGTTTTGGTTTGTAAGGATTAGTTATGTTTTACGAGTTGATCACGGATTGATATCAGTTAGAGAACCATTGAAAACCAGGGAGTACTGGACAGCTGCTGTTTCATCCTAGTTTGGGAATCATCGCCAGTACGCACCCACACTACGGGGTTCGAACCCAGGACCTTCCGGTTACAAGGCAAGCTCGTATACCATTCAGCCACTGGGACCCGAATCTGGCTCGTGGATTCTAACTTCTACTAATTCGTGATTTAGCGCGACCCCAACCATTGTCGTTGGTGGGACATCCATCCACACACGTGACATCTAATTGGACCTCACTGGTCACGACTTCTCACTAGAACTCAGGAAACTCCAACCTGTAGCAAGTCACTAGCGAGTATCAATCCGTGATCAACTCGTAAAACATAACTAATCCTTACAAACCAAAACTATAGAAAGTTAATCTGATGCTCGCTAGTGACTTGCTACAGGTTGGAGTTTCCTGAGTTCTAGTGAGAAGTCGTGACCAGTGAGGTCCAATTAGATGTCACGTGTGTGGATGGATGTCCCACCAACGACAATGGTTGGGGTCGCGCTAAATCACGAATTAATAGAAGTTCGAATTCACGAGCCATTGAATCGGGTCCCAGTGGCTGAATGGTATACGAGCTTACCTTGTAACCGGAAGGTCCTGGGTTCGAAACCCAGGGGGTGCGTACTGCCGATGATTCCCAAACTAGGATGAAACAGCAGCTGTCCAGTACTCCCTGGTTTTCAATGGTTCTCTAACTGATATCAATCCGTGATCAACTCGTAAAATATTGTTATTGACTACTAATCTAGAATATTCTATGTATATAAACATATTCGTATATACAATTGTAGAGCCAGAAGAGGAATTTATGGAAAAGAATATTCTTTGCTCGATTATTTTGTGTTTTATAGATATTTGAAATAAACTTATCAACTATAGAATAATTACATTCTATCATACAGTTCCACCGTGGCTGTACAGTTATACACTAATCTAAAAAGTGGAATGTGGGATTCGCTTCTTCTTCTATTTCTTCTGTAGTGAAAAGCATAAATTCCCATTTGCGCAATTAGAAAAAGCGAAAGATTGGGCGAAGAAATTTTGCATTCCTTTAATGCAATTAGTTCCTGATCATGTGCTCTAAAAAACTTCCATAGTTTTTTGTTTTTACATCGGAATTTTACCAATTAAGTGATTATTTTAGACCATCAGTTTTAGGACTGTTCGTCGGTGGCACAGCGGTAGAATACTTGCTAACCATGCCTCATATAGTACGGGGTTCAATCTCCGACCGCCAGCGTACTCCTCATTTACCTCGTTAAGCCAGTAATATGACTGGTAAAGAGGGAAGGTTGGCGGGGGTGGGGGGTGATCATGAGGCTAACAAGCCTATCGTGTAAAAATAAACATCACTGCTACCGAAACTTCCAAAAATAGCTCTAGCTTGAAGTCACCCTAAGTTCCACTGGAAACGTAGGTGAATACATTTACGTTGTACTCGTGGATCATAAGAAAATTTGGATGGAATACGACATGATGTCAGCATGATGTCCAGAATCGAGGACAAGAGTTAGTATTGAGCTGCGTATTACTTTATTTGGATATTTGCCAAGCCAAGATGAGAGGTGTTCAGAAATCCCACTATGAACTTGCCTGATCGTGAGCTCAGTACAACTGGCTCCACATGAGCATTTGGACTGGTAAATACACATGGACAAGGTGAAACAGGGCAGTTTATCTTTATTTCTTGAACTAAGTGTTAGTTACCTGGTGAATAATATACAGCATAATTTAGTTGCGTTGAAAGTTAAAAGATAGTTGTTTTTAAAAATCGTTGATTGGTATAATTTTCATGTAAAATAATTTAATAATTCCCATTGCAGCATTAAGAACACAATATATTCAGCGAAGAGACTCTTTTCAACAACGAATTTATTATCAAGCTATACAATCGTTTCTATATGGTTTTTATATTAAGAAGTTATATCCAGTGAGGGAATTAGGTCGAAAGTGTGAACACATGAAATAATAATAGTCGCATGAAATGAAATGAAAATATTTGTGATTATAATCACGGTTTAATGTCTAGTGGTGAAACAATTAATGTCATGTATAGAATAATACATAAGGTGTATAGATTTTGGAAATGGGTACATAATTTTAGGATTAGTAGACAAATATAAAATGCTAAATAACATGGTGTGAAATTTGATAAGATATAATTCAATATTGTAATTACATATGACGTTCACTAGCCGCAAATTGTTCTCTACCTCTGTAAAAGATAGCCTACTCCGTCTGGCCGCCTTCATGTGCATCTATCAGTTCAATTGCTCTTATGATACAAGGAACATTGGCCGTAGCCAGAGGACACCGATTACCACACGGATACGAGAACATATTCCAGTAGCATGGTTTTACAAGGGAGAAAGGAAGTGTGTGCGAAGTTCCTCTATTCTAGAACACTCCACACCAACCCTGATCAAGATTTCAAGACCATGTATAGAATATATGCTAATTTGCCGACCGCAATTTCTTTGTTACAGACTACTAAAGACAGCGGAGGCATTAGCAATTCATGTCTTTAAGCCAGACCTTTGTGTACAAAAAGAAGGACGTACAATCCCTACTTCTGGCTGGTCCGTAGAGGGATAGACATTTATTTATTTTGTTTATTTAGTTAATCTGCGTAGCTTCCCTTTATTACTACTATAATTATTATGATTACTATTCTCACTCTGAATTGTTTCCGCTTGTCACCCTTGTCACTCTAAACCCAAAATTATTAATTTATATATTTTTTTATTTTTACATTATTGAATTCTATCTTATCAAATTTCACACCATGTTATGTAACATTTTATATTCGTCTACTAATCCTATAATGATGTACCCCTTTCCAACATCTCTACACCTTATGTATTATTCTATATATGACTAATTATTTTACCACTTGCCATTAAACTATGATTATAATCACAAATATTTTTTTTATTATTTTTTTTGATTTACAGCTTGATTCCACACTGTATTTTTGGTACAAGTATGGAATTTTCAGCATGGATATCGGTAGCCCAAATTTTGCAGGCCGACCATAGATATCAGGTGTGCGTCGGCGTGGGCTCGAACCCCGGACCATGTGCATGGTCAGCGAGAGTCCTAACCACTGTGCCACCGACGCAAATTAATTGCATTTCATACTATTATTATTATTTTATGAATTCACATCTATGATTCAATTCCCTCACCGGATATAACTTCTTAAAAGCCATATATATTTACGAATGTACAGTTTGATAATAAATTCATTATTGAAAAGAGTCTCTTCGCTGAATATTGTGTTTTCATATCAAACACTATATCTTAATGTCGAGCTAAGGATGAGGAACTAATTAAAAAGGAATGCATATTCCTTCCCACAGTGTGTAGCTTTTTCTAAAAGGATAGATGGGTAACATCGCGAAACTACATAGCTGCAACATTCTGAAGAGACAGAAGAAAGAAGCGTAACTCTGAGCAATAGTAACCCGAAAGGAAACTACCAATTAAACATATTGATAACGTTGATGAATTTATGTACTGAAATCGTTTTGATAGTAATAATAATAATAATTTGCTTTATTCCAAAACAGTACTTGTGATACACACAATGAACTTCTCAGCATTTCATTACAGTATTGTATTCAGTTGGTACATGAACAATAAACAAAATTCTACATAGATTAAGGGTAACCTCCCATCGTTTTGAAAAACAACATATTAGCATATCGGTAACAAAGCCAAAAGTGAACAGAATGTTTGAAGTTGTTAGAAAAGCAGATACTAGCATATTTACTGGCGTCAGCGGTAACAAAATGGTCGAGATATACAGAGTGTGAAAGGATGAAGAATGTTTTAAATAGAGTGTGTAAGGAAGAGAGAAACAAAGCAGCAAATAACAGAAAAAGAGAAAAGGAAAAGAAAGAAAGAAAACGTTGTAACTATAAATGATATGAGTTGGAAAGACGGGATCCAGTTGTTCTACTGACTATTTAATAAGTTATAAGTTTCACGCCTGATGCTCTCTTTATCGCACAGAACACGAGCTAGCCAAGTAGGGTATGGTTGAGTTGTTGTACTTTCTAGTGCTAGCATATAATTTTCTATACATAGGCTTCTGGTTCTGCCTGATGAGATAGATACAAGGGGAGAGTTTTGACTATGTGTGTGACTATGAGGAATCCTGTAAGAAATTGGGAGGTTTTTCGGAACATATACAAGAATACTATCCTATGTAACCATTTTTTTAAACATGGCATTACTTGTACGTAGACGCTAATTTCAAATTACGCATTTCTTCTTCCTCCAAATCTGATTGGTCGTTAGAGATTATTTCGTTTTTGGGCTACTGCAGTTTAAAGTCACCGAGAAAAAAGTATTGAAGAAACTGTCTTCACTGCAAACTGTCAGTGAATAAGACTCATCACTGAAGATTAACTAACTTTCTGTTCATTTAGTTAGTTGATTAGAGTAGACAATAGGATTCTTTTTTCTCACTTCGTTTATCTCGTCTACAATTACAACTATCATCAACCAATCAGCCAATCAGAATACAGCAGGAAAGAATTAACCAATCAAAATTTAGCATTTTCAGCATTGATCAATATTATACTCGTTTTTTTGGGTATATATATATTTATTTAAGTTAGTCGACTGACACGCCCACAGGGTCTATTTAGTATTATTATAATAATCATCGTCTCAATATTACTTGCAATATAATGGGAATATTGTCATTAGTCAAAGATATTACAAATTGTAGACATTGTTAACTCTAAACAGTCGATTTGTGTTTTATTATTTCTAGTGTTGCATCGTTAAGATTCCCTTCATCACCGTCCTTCAACTGTTCACCTTTACCGACGTCTTCATTGAATTCGACTGGTAATAATAATAATAATATTAAACCCCTTCCATCAACACATCAACAACAACAAATCAATATTCGTCAATCGATTCCACGAGCCAATAATCCAGTTAGCTTTAAAGGGAATCAAAAATCAATACAAAAGCAGAAACAACAATATCCCTTGATTGATAATCAAACTGGAGTTGATAAAAGCAAAACTATCAGGAATAATAGTAATAGTAGTAATAGCCCATCTATAACAAGGAGTCATCAATCCTTACAAAAAGCCTCTCTGACATCATCATCATCATCAGGAGGTGTATTGACGATACCAGGTTCACCTACGCCACTAAATAAACAATCGATTCATTCTGGTCATGATATACCCTATACAAAAACAACAGACAGTATTGACGACCAACAACAAGATCAGATTTCATTATCTGAGCATAGAAGTGCTCCAGTTGGAATTAGTTATAATACACAAAAGTCAAGTAATTTATGTCAATTGAAAGGGGGGAGTTTTGAAAAATCGATTGGAATAAAAGCAGCTTCTGGTGAGTAATGTTTTGTTGCGTTATCAATTTTGATAAATGTCTATGTGTCCTCTATGTTTTACCTTATTTGGGTTATATATTGGTGAAGTTTCAAGGTGAATTAGTTGCTCCATTGTGGATAAGATTTTATTTTGATAAAGTGTCACACAGTGTTTGTTATACATTAATATTAACTGATGACCATTTTTCGAGCACAAATTATCGCCACTCATAATCATATCAAGACACTACTCACACAGCTTTTTTCCTTAATTTATATACATGTGTGGAATCGATTAGATATTGGAATAAAAACCAGTTTAAGATAATGTACATTCACAATTATTAATATGAGTGTTAAATCTATAAGAAGCGTCAGTCACAGCCTCAGCATCGGTAGCACAGAGGTAGAATGCTCGCCAAATATGCATGTGGTCTTGGGTTCGATCCCCGGCCGCCAACACACTCCTTTGCCTTACTAAGCCAGTAATATGAACGGTAAAACCGTCTCTGGCGTAGACGACATGTCCGACTATCGACCAAAGGGCGGTTGTACTGCTCATCAGTCCGCTTCGTCCTCCTTTATGGCCAGCTGTGAGACCTGGCCACTGAGACTGGAAGACATGAAAAGGCTGGCTAGCTGTCTTTGATCATAGGTACCTGCATTCTATCTCCCGTGTTAGGTGTAATAGGGTGAGCAATATTGAGGTTAGGCATCAGTCGAGTTCTAGGTAAGGAGGGGAAATCAATCGACGAGGTTGTGAAGTTACATAGACTGAGATGGTTAGGACATGTGTTACGTATGCCAAGTCATCGCCTTCCTCGATGAGCGGGGCACTAGTACTTCACAAAACGTCAGGCTGGAAAAGAGCTAGCTAGTGGTGTTCAAACCAGAACATGGCTTCACCAGTCAACGAAATCCACTACAGTTAGTTTAAGCTAGCCACGTAGGAAGGTGTAGACTTTCTGACTGGTTTGGGTCCTCGGGACGGTAAAAACCAATGATGGTTGGAAACAATTGGTGACATGGCTCAAAATCGTTCTCAATGGCTTGTGCAGATGCATCCACTTCTTGTGACTTATAATTTCCTATGAAACTGTTTTGTTCTTCGTTATTACTATTCCTTTGTCTCACACCTCTGTTTACTATCTCTATTATGCATTTCTTCTGCCTTCTTCTGTTGCTTTGTATAGTACATGGAGGGAGTGTGGCGACTTGAACTGCTGCACATAGGTGCAAAGTTTTATGTCGAAAACAGACAGACAGACAATGGTAAAGCGGGAATGTTGGGGGCATGAAGCTAACAACCCCCTCCCGTAAAAATAAATATCACTGTCACCGAAACTTCAATCCTTTAGCCTGAAGCCTTATGTTCCAATAGGAACATAAAGAAATTAAAAAAAAACAGCCTCAGCCTGCCGTTACTTAGTAGTACGATAGAACATTTATATCCCACAGAAAGTATGTTAAAATCAAACTACTATTATTATTTTTTATTATTATCATTCACCTGGATTCCGTGTGGAACATGGGGCTTCAACGGCACATCTCCATTTCACCCTGTTCTCTGTATAAGCTTGCATCTTCCGCCTCCCCATATGACGTCTTCTATGTCACCATATCACTAGTGAACCTATACCCAAGTCGTTATTTCCATTTTGGGTTCCACTCAAGGGTCTTTTCAACATGTGCCTGATCTATCTCCATTACCTTCTGCATATTTTTTTGCAGACGGATTTCTGGTTACTTCATTGGCAGAATTCCTTCCTCACGCTCGTCAAGTTTCTGACCAGTATAGAAGAACTGACAGGCTGAATGATTGGCTTTATACTGGTGTTGAAAATCCCAAAATTTTTCTTTCCCCTACAGAGTGCAGCAGATTTCAAAGGTAATTTTTAGGGTGATGAAGGTGCGTCTTAACTTTTCGATGCTGACTAGCTTCGAGATCTTCACCTGCGGTATTTGTAGTTGAAACGATATTGTCTAGATCGGTGAAAGAAGCCAACTTCTTTGTATTTCTCTCTCCAATGAAGTGTTGTACCATGTTTTTGTTGTTGTCGTATATGTGAGCAATAATTTATGCTCTAAACATGGTCATCAGTTAATATTGCTGTATAATACTGTGTGGTTCATCAAAATAAAATCTTATTTGAATAAAGCAAGAACAACAGTGGCGGTTTGTGCAGAATAATATGGTGCCATTGTTTATTTCGTCGGCTTCTCATCAGCTGCTTACAGCCTAAATAAATTTTGAGGTTTAAGTACAGAAACGTTTTAACATACTTGTAAATTTTGCATGTTGTCAGTTGACAGAAAGTTCCGTAATTAGTGAATAGTGCTCAGGAAATTTCGCTTATACAGTTTTTACACAGGCAGTTCAAGTTAAAACAAAATCAATGTATGCATACAAAGGTAAAGGAGTTGCGTAATAAAGATGAGATGTGCGTTAAATGCATAGTGACTAATAAGTTCGGTAACAATGTACTGAGTTGAACTCAAATCATAGAAACAAGAGACAAGCAAAATTACAGATTATAAAAGGAGGGTGAGGTTAAAGACGAAGGTTACGTAATCAGATGTCTGTCTGTCTGGATTCAACATAGAACTTGGCACCGAAGTGCAGCAGTTCGAGTTGCCCCATTCCAAATAGCACACAGAGGTGAAGAGAATCAATAGAGTTTGACAAGTATAAGAGTGAAACAGAATGGGTAATGGTAGAAAGGAATATGAAAGATTACAGAGACTGAATACATCTGCGCTGGCCATTGACAACGATTTTGAGCCATGTCACCTATCGTCTCCAGCCATTGATTCCTAGAGTCCCGATGCGAGGGCCCCAACCCGGAAGTCTGCATCTTCCTACCTACCTGACTCAGTTTAACTGTCAAGGATTTCATGGATTGATGGCATGTTTTTGTTTGGCCACCACTTACTCTTTTCCAACCTGCACCTATATCAGCTAGTATTGCCCGTCGACGGGGGGGGGCGATGGTTAGGCATGCGCAGCACGTGACCTAGCCATCTCAATCTATGTAACTTTATAGCCTCGTCGATTGATTTTCCCTCTTTGCCCAACACTCTACGCCTAACGTCAACATTACTTACCTTGTGAAACCACCTAACGTGAGACAGAGATCGCAGACATCTATGATCGTAATCAGATGAGAGAAAAAAAGACATCCAGTTACCAAGGCAAGGAAAGACTAATTACTGCTTCTTTCTGAACACATAAATCTGGTTTCAAGCGTTTGATAGAAATTGCTTCGGCAAACTTGAGGAGAATGGAGCTCTTTTGTCTATTGATAATTTTGAAGGATTTCTCGATTTCTACATTATGACCAGTGTCACGGAGATGTCTGGTAATCGTGCTACTGTAAGAGTTTGTTCCCTTGAGACGTTGGCTTTTTCAGCGCATATTCAAAAAAATCGGAGGTGTGTCCTACTTTCTGTTCTCCCAATGTAAATAAAATCTTATCTATAATGGAGTCAACAACGCTAACCCTAACATGAAAGAAGCATCACTTATCACAATAGGTTAAAGAACAGTATATTTTTTAGCATTTCTACGCTTTTTTCTAAATGTCTTTATCACTCCCTTTTACCTCTTTAATGCAGTAGGTTAAATCAAAAACCACTGGTTGTGTGCGTTCGTTCACTTAGAGCCCTGTGACTCAGTTATCATTAGTATTTTTATTCCCTTGGTTTCCAAATAAGACATAGCGTTCCGAATGGACATCTCCATCTCACCCTGTTCGGCGCATTACTCTTCAGCTGGTTTCACCACTGACTATTTGCCTTCATCTCCACCATGTCACCCATGGACAGCTACGGCTCGGTGATCAATGTCAACCACAAAGGTCTCCTCAGAGTGTTTCCGATTTATCTCTATTTTTTTCTACGTATTTGTTAAGCAATTGGATCTTGTTAAGTTTCTGGTCATCCGACCTTCGGTACGGATCCAGCTATCGATAAAAGTCCTCGGCTGGCTGTTAGAAATGTATTTTGTGACTCTCTTTAGCGACGTTTTCGACCCACACCGAAGAACTGACTGAATCACTTAACTAATCTTGATGTTGGAAATCCGAATTTTGTACTTTGTGTTTAGAGTTATTAGTCAAACTAGTGCTTATGCTATTTTGATAAGTTAATCTGCATAGAATTCAAGTCGGTTGGTTCTCACCACGATTCTAGCACCAATCGACCCTGCTGCTACTAAGCCTGTATAACTCTGAAGTTGAGAAAATCCCAGTTATTTTATTGTGACCCATTCATTGGTGGTTCTTAATCGCGTCCTTGGGTGTTGTCTACTAGTAACTGGCGTGTGGGGGGGTGGTGGGTTAATTGAAATGAAATAAAACCCAATTCGGGACTTGTTAGTTCTTTGATGATGTTTCCTGTCAAAATGAAAAAAAACTTCACGGATAGTTGACCTTTCCATGTGTGCGCGTGTGTGTGTGTCGGTGTTGGTGTTTCAGCAGTCTTAAAACTAAACTAAACTAAACTTTAACATCTAATTAGAAAATATTCGTGTAATCAGGCTACATATATTTTATAAGTTTACATTAATAAGAATGAAGTAAGCCACCAATGATTTTTCAAATAACCTTAAAAGTTCATCACAACCTTATCAATAATAAATAATTAATAAAACATATTTCAGCCATGAAACTAAATTTTTTTCTTCAATTCAAATTGTGCGCAATTGCAACTTTCGAAAATATAATAATTGAAACATAGAACAAATTAACAAAATAACTAAATTTAGATGAGTTAGCGTAACGGTTGACGACGAAAGACTTCGTAGAGGAATGTTCATCTGCTAAATGGTATCTCTCTCTCTATTTTTTACGAGTTGATCACGGATTGAAAACCAACTGTTTCATCCTAGTTTGGGAATCATCGGTAGTGCGCACCCACACTACGAGGTTCTAACCCAGGACCTTCTGGTTACAAGACAAGCTGGCTCGTATACCATTCAGACACTGGAACCCGATTCAATGGCCAGCCAGTGCATGAATTC